CACGGGCGAACGGCAGCCACGCTGCCACCGAGGCCATGCTCGATGGTGGAATAGTTTTCTTAACGCGACTACGTTTTCCACTCTTCTCCTCTTCGTCTTCTTATTCCGCGAAATCCTCTAGTCTCGCGAACGTTCCTGTCACTCGACGTTCTAGCTCGTCGACGCGTACCTTTCACACGCGCGCGCGTTTCACTAGCTGATTTCGTTCATTCCTCTCTCGAACGCCTCGTAAGCGATCCAGCTCGGGCTTCGAGTCACGGATTCCCTCGAGAGAGGAACTTCCTCGGTAATTCGAAGGTACGCCTGTAAAGTCCTGGGGAATCTTTATCGCAGCCGATCGTGCTCGAGGTCTCTCGCCATTCGCACGGAGCTGGTATTAGCTGACGGTCGTACACCGACCGCGTTTCCACCAGCAACGCGTCGACGACCACGATGACCGCGTCGTCGACAACGACACAGCGATCCTAAGATCGAGCACGACCACCAAGTCCGTCATCGTACCACGGCATTCCTTCTCGTTTGTCGTTTTGTTTACACTGTCTTGCCACTTGACTCGCGGATATTACGAACAGCTCGTAGCAAAGGAACACGAGCACCAAGGCAGCCAATCGCCTCCTGGCAACGTGCCTTCCACCATCATCGATACGGTTGCGTCTCGTGCTCGTTTGCCTCTCTCCGCGTACACGCGTCCAGATCGGTATCAAACCCAAGATTCTCCACCTGTTCTTCCTCGTCTCGTTTGCTCCTATCGAGAGACTGGATCCAACCCGGAGTATCCTCGAGGATCGAACCCCGCTACATCGTCGAGGCGAGAGGATTACCAACGAAACGGAGAGGACACTCTTTGTCCGTTCACCCTCGAAACGAACGGAATCCTGGTACGTCACCGAGGAACATTTTCGCCTCCGCTGCCTCGCGGTCACGTACGTCGCTCGATGTTTTAATTAATACGCGAATTCCTCGACGAGTGATCAATGGATGACTTCCGAGAAGAAGTTGCCTCTTGCACGATTAATCTCTGTCTACCGGGTCATCGTTGTTTATATTTCCCGGAAGCGAACCAGATTGCACCCCGATGCTACTTTCGGCTGCACCGACGACTTCGCGTCTCTCGCGACGAAACGTCCTCCTTCGACGCCGAACGAATCGACAAGGAACGCGAGATCAAGCTTCGAACGCGATCGAAGCGAGAGAAGAATTTTCGCGCTGCTTCCGACGCGGTCTCTCGCGATCTTGGAGCATCGTACGCGAAACGTTCTGAACGCGCACAAGCTTTTTTTACTCGCTCGAGTTTGTCGCGGATCGCGACATGCAAGGATCACGCTGGTTCCGTTCGCAATACGCCAGAGAGGGGAGGTGCACGAGTTAAAAGCTTCACCGGTCGCGCAGATGTTTTCCACGACGCACAGCTCTCGCGATAGACGGCACGTCGCATGCGTCACGGTGTGGCTCCTTCCTCGTGACAGCTCGCCAGCACAGCCTCCCGTGTTCGCTTCGAATCGCTACTCCGTTTGCTCGATCGACGAGGATCTTCGTCAGGGTTGCGACGCTTCGTCGAGTCTGCCGGTTTCTCGCGGCTCGTTCATTTCTCTCTTTCGCCCGCTTGGAAACTGAACGAACTTCCGATCACCGGTAGCCGGTACGAGCCTCTCTGTTTACGACGATGGCTCCGATCGCGTTTCCTCGTCGCCCACGCACAAACTAACTATCCACTCGACGAGTCTCGAGCGTGTACCTCGTGCAGCATGATCCCGGCGCCGGATCCCGAGCGGAGCGATCACGATGCGTGTTCAGCGTGCCGCGGCGAGAAGACGATCCTCCTCGCGGATCATCGAACGCGGAGCGAGAAACGCCAGGACCAGAAGAGGAAGGGAGTCCGCGTGTACGACGGAGCAGATCGTGTATGCGCGTCGTCGGTAGACGCCGATAAACGAGACGCGTTCTACCGTCTGGCGTACCC